AGAGAAAGACAAAAACTGTATGATCTCACTCATATGTGGAATATAAACCAACACATGGACAGAGAAAACTGTATTGTGGTTACCAGGGGCAATGGGGGTGGGGGGTGGGCACAAGGGGTGAAGGGAGACATATATATGGTGATGGACAAACAAAAAAGTACAACCAACAATTTCACAATGTTATAAACTATTAAAACATCAATAAAAAAATTAAAAAAATTCATCAATCTATTTGTTAAAGATTAATGCACCTCATTCAGTTTTGTATGTATGCTGTACCTCAAGACTTTTTTAGAAGTTCAGTCTAACAAGGATGAATGAAAACCGTCTCACATGGTATGGTATATGCCACCTGATACAAGATTCTGCCACTGGTGATACCCAAGAAATACTGTTGACTGACTAAATGAAACATTTTGAAACTCTCCTTTACTTTTCCTAAAATAAAACCACAGTTAGTTTATACAGAACCGTATCTTCTGGTTAACTCCATCATTAAAGTGAGGCAGGTAAACACTGGATTCGAATTAGAGAGCAGCCGGACTTTTTCAGACTATTTAGGAACATCATGGCGATAATTTCAGGAAATATAGGCAATGCTAGTGAATGCATTACAAAGTGCTGAAAGTATTGGTGAGTTCATAGATTTAAAAATGCAAAAGTTCTGTCTACAGAAGCTGGGATAACCTTCAAATTGTAAGTAAAATTAATTTTCCTCAAAAGGAAAATCTCCTCAGAAGAGAGATTAGGAGAGAACAATGAAATGTAGTCACAGACAATGTTGCATTTTTGCCTCTTTCTTAGGAGACTTCTCAAACGATCCATGTGAGACATTGCTTCTGCTGTATGAGTTTGAAGTTAAAGCCAAAATGAATGATCCATTCCTGGACGGCTTCCTGGAATCAGTGTGGGAACTGCCTCATTTAGAAAGTAAAACATTTGAAACAATCGCATGTAAGAGCTATATTTATGGTTTTGGAAGGCTGGTACCCATTTAAATCATACTACTTTTTTCTTTCTTTTCTCTTACCTCCAGGTGGGAAACAATGTTTCCTCATAGCACTTTGTTTCTCCTTCTCTAATGGCATTCTTGAACTATTTTGTATTACAATCATTTGTGCACTTATCTTTTTCTTTATGAGACTATAAGGTCCTTAGTGTCATGAACAATAATTACTTATATTTGTTGTACTTATAAACCCTAGCAAAGTGCATTGCTCATAATACACACATATTTATTCTCTGTGTAATTGAATTATATAACTACACAATGGGGACAGCTCAAACTTCAGAAAGTTAGTTTTGCTCAGCTAGCTAGAAATGACAATTGACCGCTTCACTAATCAAAGGTGATGCAATGTTAGCAATTTACTAAAGTGTACAGAGAAATATTGGTAATAATTTTTAACACAATTGCCACTTTGAAATTTCTGGTTGGGCTGTAAGTGGTATTGGGGACCCAGAGCCCCTATGGGGTTACACTGCAGGAAATGGCCTAATTATCTTCCCTTTTTGTCTCTCACCATCCTCGGGAGCCTCTGTGTGGTTAGTGAAGGTATTAGGTAGCCCCAAGTGCACAAGTCACATTTGCCTTTCCTTGTCTTGCCAAGACAGAATTCCTAGAGACATGGAGCAGGTGGTATATGCTTTATGGACATATGATGGTGACCACTGCTCCTTGTATAATGGAACTCCAATTCTAGAGGCCTGGTAAACACATCCGGAAGTTTTAGGGTTTATCATCTCTGGCACTCACTCTCATGTCAAGTGTTTCATGTTTTTAGTATCAGACAAAAACAGTATATTGTGATATAAATCTGTTTTTGATTAGTGCCCTTTTACCGATCTGCTTTCTGTTTCCTTCTTAGTGTGCCCCTCCTTGACTCTGGTTCATAAGATTATTGCTTCATCTGTGTGACTAGGTGCAGGGTCACAGAAACAGTAGGTTCTCTGTTGATGTTTGCTAAAGAGAAGATATAACCTGGTGATCCTACCATGTTACTCTGCCCAGAAAGTAGAAGCTGTCTCTGAAAGCCACTGTGGATTCATTGTTTTATAAAATTCATTTTTGTTTTTTTGTGTTTCTTTGTTTTTGTTAATCTGTTTCAGGCCAGTTTGGTTAGAGAAAGCAAGTTGTAGCCTGGGATGAAAACTGCAATGGATGAGATTATGGTATTCACAACCTTTCTTTTCCCTTCCTATAGCATTAGCAATGGAAATGCCTGCCTACTATCCTTCCATCGCTCTAAAGGCCTTGAAAAGAGCTTTATTGCTCCACAAAAAGAAAGAATCAATTGATGTTATGAAATACAGGTTAGTAAATATAATTCAACACTGAATCCAGGCTTTCTGATAGTCAATGCCCCATAAGTCATCAATCATACTCAACTGGCCCAACTTAAAAGATGATCAGGGGTACTTCTGTAACTCCTGGGCTAAAAAGCCCTCAGAACAGCTCCATATTTAGAGTTGTATTATAGACCAAGAATTAATTAGCTAGGTCAAGGAGTTTGGTTTTCCCAAAGCAGCAAAAGGGGGAAAATTGCTTCTTTGCATGAGTCTATACATATAATAAAATTATTAAGTACCTTCTTTCTTTCATTACTAAATATGCCAAATGTACAGAAAAGTACACTGCTTAATATAACAAACACCATTGTATCCACCACTCAAATTTAACAAATGTTAACATTTTGCTATATTTGCCTCAGATATTTTTTTCTAAGCACCATTCTTTAAGGACCAATAAGTGCTGTACATAATATAAAATATTTTTTGGAGATTTTATATTTTCTATGCCTAGACATGGGTAAAAATAGATGTTGTGTGATTTTTCTCTGGAAAACTTCATTACAGTCTTCCTTTTCTGAGACATGAGAGACAGTTCTTCTGGAATTATTCTCAATTTAAATCCCAATTCCCTTGCCCATTTGAGGATGTAGCAAGATGCTTTAAGTTGCCTATAGATTGAACCAGCTCATAAAATATAGTAAACAGCGACAACTTCTTAGTGCAGGAAACTAAAAAATGTGAAAGACAACTATAGGCATAATAAAAGGAAGGATTGGTCAGCCCCTTTTATAACTTCAAAAATCTGTCTTCTGAGGTTGGAGGCCAGATAAAATTGAGGAAAGAACAGAAGTGTTATGAAGCTCTTAGTCTGGGATGAGATCCAGATTTTACTTATCTTAGCCATGAAGCCAATGATTTCTTTCCTTATGGGATAAGTTTTCTCTTTTTGATTTCAGCAAATGTATGCGCAACTTGATTAACCTCCTAGTGCCCGAGGGGGTGCTGAGTACAGAACTCTGTCCCCCGGAAGAAGTTTGGGGCTATTTTGAAGATGCTCTGAGCCTTATTAGCCACACCGTAAGTCAAACAGTGATATTAAACTTGTAGCTAATTTTAAAGGACTGAACTGTCTTGTGTATTAGAAATTACATAGAAAAACGCTTTCTGATCTGAGTTTTAGGGTAAATAAATTCATATTACAGTGTAGTTACACACTACAAAATTTCCCTGGGTTTATGAAATGTAAATAGTTAAAAGTAGAACATTTCTAGTATAAATATACTGTGGATTAGGTCAAAATAGCAGTACCATCTGGCATTTTGAATTATTTTGTATTTTCAAAACCTGGTAGAATTGTTACTTTCCCTGTGATGATACTAACCCTTTGAAAAAGCTTATTGTTATTCCCGCCATTTCTCAGAGGCAGGTAATAGAGTAGAAGGAATACTAAAGACCTGTAATTTAGTCCCTCCTCTACTGATTTTTTTCTTTTCAGTGCAGGTTTATTCAGTGACTTTTAAATTAGCTTTATTGAGGTGTAATTTACATACTATAAATTCACCCATTGTGTGTGTACAATTCAGTGATTTTTAGTAAATTTATAGAGTTATGCAGCTGTCACCACAATCCAGTTTTAGAATATTTCCATTACTCGAAAAAGTTTCCTCGTGCCCATTTGCATTCAATCCCTGCTTCCACCTTCAGGCCCAGGTAACTGTCGATCTGCTTTCTATCTCTATGGTTTTTCTCTTTCTGTATACTTCATATAAATGGAATCATGCAATACTTGACCTCTTGTGTCTAGCTTCTTTCAATTTAGCGTAATGTTTTTGAGGTTCATCCATGTTGTACCATGTATCAGTATTTCAATCCTTCCTATTGCTGAATAAATAGAATATTATTATATTCTATTGAATGGATATATCACATTTTGTTTATCTACTCACTAGTTGATAGACATTTGAGTTGTCTCCACTTTTTGGCTATTATGAATAATGCTGCTATGAATATTTGTGTACAAGTCTTTGTGTGGACATATGTTTTCAGTTCCCTTCAGTACATGAATTTCTGGGTCATATGATAACTCTTTGTTACCATATGTTTATGGTATGCTCATATGTTTAACTTTTTGAGGGCTGCAATCTGTTTTCCAAAGTGGCTACACCATTTTACATCCCTACCAGTAGTGTATGAGGGTTCCAATTTCTCCACATCCTCATCAACACTTGTTATTGTCCATCTTTTTTATTACAGCTATGTTAGTGGGTATGTAGTGGTAGCTCCTTGTGGTTCTGATTTGCATTTCCTTGATGGCTAGTGGTGTCGATCATTTTTTCATGTGCTTATTGACAATTTGTATATCTTCTTTGGAAAAATGTCTATTCAGTTATTTTCCCACTTTTTTTTTTAATTTTTTGTTTATTGCAGTAACATTGGTTTATAACATTGTAAAAATTTCAGGTGTACATCATTGTACTTCTATTTCTGCATAGATTACATCATGTTCACCACCAAAATACTAATTACAACCCATCACCACACACATGCATCGAATCATCCCCTTCACCCTCCTCCCTCCCCCCTTCCCCTCTGGTAACCACCAATCCAATCTCTGTCCCTATGTGTTTGTTTATTGTTGTTCTTATCTACTACTTAATGAAGGAAATCATACGGTATTTGACCTTCTCCCTCTGACTTATTTCACTTTGCATTGTACCCTCAATGTCCATCCATGATGTCACAAATTTTAAAATTGGGTTCTTATTGAATTCTAAGAGTTCTTTATAAATTCTAGATACAAATCCTTTATCAAATATAGAATTTATAAATATTTTCTCCCAGTCTCTGGCTTGTCTTTTCATTTTCTTAATGGCATCATTTAAAAAGCAAAAGTCTGAATTTTGATGAAATCTAATTTAGCAATTTTTTCTTTTATGGTTCATGTTTTTGAGAAATATTTGCCTATCCCAAATTTATGAAGATTTTCTCCTGTGTTTTCTTGTAGAAGATTTTATACTTTTATCTCTTACATATAGGTCTGTGATCCATTTTGAGTTAATTTTTGTTTATAGTGTGAGGTTAGGATCTAAATGGTTTCTTGTTTGTTTGTTTTTGCATATGGATGGCCCTCCTCTGCTGTTTGACTTCAGTTTTCTCATTTGTAAAATGGAAATAATACCTGCTCTGACTCCAACACTGAGGTTTTAAGGATCAATTGAAATAATAATGTGTTGTAAACTTTAACAGCTCACACACATGTAAGGTAGTATTGTTATTATAAGAGAGCTAAAAAATATGAAGAAGGTTAAATGGCTTGCTTAAAGTAATACAGAAAGTCATTATTTGAGTCCTTGTTAATATCCAAGGCTCCTGACTCTGCTCTGCACTCAACTACTTCTTCGTATACAAATATCTGCAAACCACAACAGATAGTGGAACAATATAGCAGGGTGACAACCTGGTACAAACTAGCATCCGCTTACAGAAACCTAGAATTCTCCTGGAGCTATGTAATTATGGCCTCTGTGAATTTAAGTTAAAAAAAAAACTTTAGCATTGAACATTTTGGATATATATTTTTTTTACTGTCTTTTGGGAAGAAGAGAAAATTCAATTTCTAAGCCATGAGCCTCATCTGGACCTTCAGATGTGTTTGCCATGATAACTAATACTAACTAAAATTAAATTTTACTTTAAATCCAAACTGATTGATTTTCATAGTCTCTATATAAGGCCAAAACTACTCTGATCATTTTGTTTTTGTTTTTGCCACTTTTATTCTATCTAATATATTACTGTTCCATCTCTCTGGCTCTTGGGTTGCCTGTTAGAGAGCTTAATATTTTTCTACTTTTTTGACGAGTCTCCCATCCATTATTGCTTATCGCCTGAAACATGATGGGATAGTTAGCTTTTTATGAAGCATTAATTTAATAACCCTCTTGGCTCTTTATATATATATATATATATATATATATATATATATATATATATATATATAATAGTCTATGTTGCTTTTTCCTGTTTGAATATGCTATGCATCTCCTTTGTTTTAAATGCTTGGGAGAAAAGTCTGCCCTTGTTTGACTTTTCTAATGACCAATCACTCTGTCATTATTTATCGAGCAGATAACCTTTATCAAGTGCCTCCATACAGTGGCAAAATGGCTATCGCACAAGTATAAAACCTCATGCCTCACAGTATCGTGCTTTACATTTGACAAGGCAATCTTACATCCATTATTTCATACGACCCTCCCTTCACAGCAATTCTTTGAAGTAGAGAATGGTGGTATTATTATCCTTGATTTATAAATAAGGAAATGTTTACGATTCAAAAATGTCAAGTTACCAATTTGCCTAAGTTGATATGGCTAATGAATGAGAGTCAGGACTAGAACCCAGGTCTTCTGACCTCAATTCCAGGGCTCTGTCCACCAGAACACACATCTTCTTTACCTGCTCTTGCTAGGAAACTTCAGTTCAAAGGAGAGGCTCAAGTTGGTATTCAGAAACTACTGCCAATGAAAATGCAGGAGGGATGAGTTGCATACTTGAGCAGGCAAGCCTATATACTCTACAGTAGGTTCATATTCTAGATTATTTTTAAGACCAAGTGGATTGCTCTGGTTGCTTTTCTTAATTAACATTTTATTTTGAAATAATTGTAGATTCACGTGCAGTTTAAGAAATAACATGAGAGATCCTGTGTACCCTTCACCCAGTTTCCCCCAATGGTAACATCTTACAAAACTATAACACAACATCACAACCAGGATGTTGACATTGTTACAGTCAAGACACAGAACTTTTCCATCACCATAAGGATTCCTCATGTTGCCCTTTTTATGGCCCCCTCCCATTTCTCTTCCACCTCCAATCCTTCCTTAAACTCTGGCAACCACTAATGTATTGTCAATTTCTATAATTTTATCATTTCAAGAATGTTATATAAATTGAATCATACAGTATATAACTTGAGATTTGGAATTGTACGGTATATAACCTTTTGAGATTGGCTTTTTTCAGTCAGCATAATTCTCTGGGGATTCATCAAGTTGTTGCGTATATCAGTATTTCATTTCTTTTTATTGCTGAGTAGTATTCCATGGTATGGATGTGCCACAGTTTGCTTAACCATTCACCTGTTGAAGGGCATCTCGTTTGTTTCCAGTTTGGGGCTATTACAAATAAAGCTGCTGTAAACATTTGTGTATAGGTTTTTGTGGGAACATAAATCTTCATTTCTCTGGGATAAGTACCCAAGAAGGCAATTGCTGGTTCATGTGGTAATTGCATGTTTAGTTTTTAAAGAAACTGCCAAACTGTTTTCCAGAGTGGCTGTAACGTTTTACATTCTTGCCAGCAATGTATGAGTAATTCAGTATCTCCACATCCATGTCAACATTTGGTATTGTCACTATTTTTTATTTTAGCCATTCTGATAGGTGTGTCATGGTATCTCATTGTGGTTTTAATTTGCATTTCCCTAATGGCTGATGATGCTGACCATTTTTTCATGTGCTTATTTGTCATTTTTATATACTCTTTGGTGAAATGTCCATTCATGTCTTTTGTCCATTTTGTAATTGGATTGTTTTGTTTTTTTACTGTTCAGTTTTGAGAGTACTTTATATATTCTAGGTACTAGTCAGATATGTAGTTTGAAAATATTTTCTCCCAGTCTGTAGCTTGTCTTTTCATCTGCTTAACAAGGTCTTTCACAGAATAAATTTTTTAATTTTGTCCAATTTATCAATTTCCTCTTATGGGTCATACTTTGGGTGTCAAGTCTATTGGAGAACTCTGCCTAGCCTTACATCCCAAAGATTTTCTCCTGCTTTTTTTCTTAAAGGTTTATGTTTTACATTTAAGTTTATGATACGTTTTAAGTTATATTTATATGATGTGTGAGATTTAGGTTTAGGTTCATTTTCATCTATGGACATCCAATTGCTCTAGCACCGTTTGTTGACAAAACAGTTTTTCCTCCATTAAATTGCTTTTGTACTTTTTTGTGTGTGTATGAGGAAGACTGGCCCTGGGCTAACATCCATGCCCATCTTCCTCTACTTTAT